GTTTCTTTACGTTCTGCGCTGGAGGCATTTCCACTTATAAAATATGTAGATGTTGTGAGAGCGTTCTGTAGTGAAGTTGGGGGAGGGGGGGGGGTGGAGAGTGATCTGAAAAAGAAACAAGAGAAAAGAAGCCACCGGTAACGCTCTGAACAAGGCCCCTCCTTCAGCAGCCCTCCACCTTAGATGGAATGAAGCGTGTTTGGGTGAGTGTTTTTATCACAGCCGCATCAATTGCTATCTTCCATATTATCACACCTTCAGGTGCTATCAGACACTTCGTCGTGATCCACTTGCGACTACTGTCGTTGGTCCTTACAGCAACCGCGGTGTGCGGGTTGTACGGGAAGCCGTTGGTTGCAGGTCCCTAGCAGTGTCCTAACCAAGCATTTCGCGCGGCGATGGTAACGCGACCTCGCTGCCGCGGCCCAAACTTGATACTCAACATGCTTACTACTGAAGAGCCTGGAGATGGGCCTTGCCTATAACCACTCGTAGACTGATCATCTTCTCCGCCTTTAGTTCTAAGCCCTAATTCAACTAGGCCATCGAGCATTATTCACATATGTATTCCTCACCGAGGAGATTTATTTAGGAAATAAAGATGCTTTTACGTCCCATAGAGGTAAGCCTTTGCTTCTTGCCATTTCTTTTCAAGTCAATAGCGACTCATTAAATTTAGCGGTAAAGTGACAAAACAAATACAAGGGTATCTCAAGTGTAGAAAAGCTTATTCATTCAAAGCAAGTGTAGTCGGGAAGAGGGGGACAACAACATTTACACAGCAGCAGGTATCATGCAGTTGGTTGAACACGTTTCTTGAATGGGTTCAAGGTCGCTGGGTGTGCAAATTCAAGCAGTTGCGATTATTGGTCCACCAACGATGAAGGAGGATAAAAAATGCTGAAACAATGCGCACTGACCGTATGAGCAAGGGCTGCGCTCCTGTCCGTGGGTCGCGCTTGGTTGGCCGCGTATCTTTGCGTATTTCACAGCTCCAAAACGCTTTATTCAGGATACTCCCGCTATGACGCAAACCCTACCCATGCGAACAGTGCGCTGTGTGTTTTAAAATCAACCCCGGGATAAAACTAAGAGGACAAGAGCGCTTCGTAGTGATGATTGAGGTGCGGAACGATCTGAAGTGAAAAGGAAAGCAAGAGGAATCTTGGGTCCATGGTTGCAGGCCCGTAAGGATTAGCGTCCCAACGCGCATTCTTTGCGTCGAAACTGGAGTGATCTAGGTAGGCAGGAACCTCACGATTTCCCTTGCGGTACCCTTTCTACAACTAGGGTTGGCCTTTGGAGGCGGAGTTTACGATGAAGCAAGTTGAATGACCTTACTAACACTAACGCTCTCTATGTTAGACGGCTAGGGGCAGCGGCCAGGGAGCGCCGCGGGCGTATGTGGCTGCAAGGCTGCTGGGGGCCTTTGGTGCGGAATCCGCATCGTCCCATTCAATTAGGACCGCCTGCCTTCCTAAGAGATGTGCTCCCCTTTCGACCTTATCGTGAAATTCTCCCTTTGAAGGCAAACCCCGGGATTAGCCCGTCTAGTAGGAGGGATACCACGAGGGAAATTGTAGGGTCCGTACGTAAGTGGATCACTCCGGCTTTGTCGCAAAAACTGCGCGGTTAGGGCGCTAATCCTTACGGGCCTGCAACCATCGACAATCGTTGCAACGCTTCCCACCCACGCGAGAGATGGTGAGATCAGCGTGCTCTCTCAAACGACGTGCTCTCTCGCGTATTTTGTCTTCTTTGACCGCCCTGTCTCGCCATCGTACCACATCCGACCTTATTGAAGGTTAAGGCCTTAATTTCAGCGTTCCCAAAGATTTCTCTTGCTTTCCTTTCCACTTTCAGGTCGTTCCGCAGCTAAGCTATCACTACGAAGCGCTGATAGCACCTGTTTGATCCCGGGTTTTGCCTTTAAGTTCTCAGCGCTTTTCTGCTTTTTCGAATATTGGTAGACAGCTGCTAAACCAAATTGATTTTATTTACTCAATTATCTATTTATTTACTCATTTATTTATTTATTTAAGTTGATTTTCGAACGAGATGACCACCTAGTCAATGCCCGAATATCCTCTACCTAGAACTGTGATGGCAAATAGTATAATATTTTTGTACTTATAATCAATAATACAGATAAAAGCTCAAAAATGAGCTAATAAAAAAGGGGATTAGTCGCTCAACTCACTGCGAATAACGCAGCAATCGACGGCGGTAGTGTAGACGAGTCCCAGAGCAATGAGTGCATTGACGATCAACATTGCTCCGTAGAGGGTGCGTGAACGCCACTTCGCTAACGCTGAGATCACAGATCAACCTGTTACATAACCTTCCAGCGGATATTTGCGTTGAGCGCAAGTTTCAGTTAAAGACCAGATCGAGTTCCATGTTTACCTGACGCAAAGGCTAACAAAATATCCCGAAATTGTTAGACCAACCGATCGAATGAGTCAGTTGTCGCCTTGATTGGCGAAAGGGGCAATGGATTCAGATTGGTCGTATTAACGTTTGGAGATTCAAACTATGCCGACCGTGATGCTGATAAAAAATAATACTCCTACTGGGGCTCCTCAATCTCTACTCAACCATGGTTGTTTTTATAGTACCCATTTCACCACGACATGGCACTCTCCGCCTCCTCCAAAATGGTATGGAAACTGACCTGGTCTGGGAAGTAAGACCTGCCTATCGGTGGAGAAGGACGGCGTCAGAGGAGGAGGGGAGATTTTGGTATCTGTTGAGTTGGGGAGACGGTCAATTCAATCGTCGGCTAATGAGGTCACGCCGCTCACGCGGCGGCAGCGTCGCGCGCGGCAATGGTGCGGCGATTTTTGTATGGGCCTTGGCTTAACGGTCCTTGTCCATAAGTTGCTGGTGGGGTTAGAGAACTGATAAGACCAAAGTTCCAGACATCAGTGAGCCAACAAGAGTCACCTTAAGATCTCTGCAGTTATTTAAGCCTCCCTGTACGGAGCTTGTGCCATGTAAAGGTTGTCCTTCAGTCTCTGAGTTGTTGAGTTGCTCTCTGCAGTTGACAACTTTTGTCTTTCCAACTATGTAAGAACTCTTTCATAAACCCCTAGTACAAATATCCCTCGCGTTAACACCTCAGAAATGTGAAGAAGTAGTCGGTATTGGTCATCACCTCTCGGTCAGCCATGCACCTGACTTTATTCAAAGAACTACCTGTGTTGTTATGCTTGCCATGCAAATGTTTGTCGGGCCATTCAATGTTAATGAGTGTGTTTTCAATGCGTCCTATGTATCATAGGACCAGAAGGATGTCTGACGAATGTGTGTCAAAATTTCAAAAACTACTGGGCTATCTCCTCCCGAGTTCCCACACATAGTCATGGGATCATTGAGGAATCTTACGCATCTATCAGGGTGAATAACGGTCGAGGAAATCCTCGACCATAGCTCTCTACCATGCGAGAGTAGTGCCGAGAGTGAACATCCGCGCGGAGAGCACAGACGGCACGGCATGGCGAGTGTGAATGTCCGCGCGAGAGATCGTGTCTGATCGGGCAGAGAATCCTCGACGTGCCGTTGAGGAATCCTCAAGCGATATTCACTGGTATCTATGAAGAAACCCACTAACCGAATTATTGAGCAATCAAAGTGAATCTTTGTAAGATTAAGAATGCACTTCTAAGCACAGAAGCGAAAGTCATGCTGGCAGTGATTTGACGTCAAGTGCACGATACTAGCTTACGAAAACGATATCGGTGCTAGAAAGACCTCTTGAAGGCTTTCTATATAAGGCAACGCAATCCATGCATGAATAACAGGAATGAATGCATCTCCATAACTGCCGATTTCTTGCCCTATATCCCTCTCTGCGAGCTATGGTTTTAAGTGCGTAGTGCACTGCACGTCAACTCCTTATATCCAGGGGCGAGTCCCCGTTCAAATTCTACTGGCCATATCATGGCTGATCATTCAGTTCATTCACACACGGTTCAGTCTGACCATGACTCTACTGACAATGTGGTTCAAACTCCCACGCAGAGTAATAATAGTGACTCTGCGGAGGAAGCATCTCTCCTTCGGACACCCGATCAACCTTCAGGTGTTTCAGATCCCGACGCGTCCGATCGAGGATCTTCCCTCCTGGAGGACTCGCCTGACGTTGATAATGGTTCCGGCACGTCACCATCACCAATGGAAGTTACCGAATATACTCCCGTACCCAGCCCTGAACCCTCTTCCCCTGCACTCCCTCCCCTTCCACCACCACAACCACCCACCTATCCCCTTGTTCCCCGTCGGCATGGGTGCTGGCCCCGTACAAGGACCGCTCGTACAACATCGGCTACGCTTATTCCCAGCGCCAGCGCCCCACAACAACGGCCTCCCCACGATCCCTCCGGTTCTGCACCTCCCGCTCCCCCCCCCCCGCGGTTCCCGCAGAGGAGCCCCTGGTCGACGACCGTTCAGTAGAGGTAGAGCTGGCCGCCGGGAAACCAGACCCCCACCCCAAAATGAGTGGTACGACTGGCGTCAAAACCTTCCGGAGACGACTCCCGCTGGCTTTACCCATCCCTTAGCCGATCGCCACCCGTGGGGTTCTCTGGTGCGTCCGCGTCCCCCCAGATATGCGAATATAAACAACGAATGCACCACCAGCGAGCTCCCTCTCGACAAATATAGGCCAATTCCCCCTGGGGCATACCACGCTACGCGCTGGGTCCGCTCGCTCTTTCCCATCTATATCCGTGGCTTTCCTACTTCGATGAACAAAATCCCGGTCACGGAGCTTCAAACGCTCGAAGCGGCGATCGCATTTCGGGAAACCTCCTTGGACATTCTCAACAAAACCCTTCGCGGGGAATACCAGGAATTAGTCCGCACGAATGAACAGACTCCACGCGAATCTTATTCATCCACATTGGCACCCCCTCGCATCGGCGACACTCGTCCGGTACTGTACCAGGTGGTCGCTACAGGTTATGGAGCCGGCGTCATACTAGAAGCTAACAAGGAAAGGATGGTAGGTCGAAGTGGCCGTTTAAAATGAAATGTATACCTCCTGATGCGTCTCCAGACGCTGATTCCAAATCTGCCTTCCAAATCTGCTAAACGACTCTCCGAACGGAGTTATGAAGCGTAATAGCTCAGTGGTGATGGTCCGGGGTGGCAGGTAAAAGCTCGTAGGATCGGTTCCTTTGCAAGTTTGTTGCTTTGCTTTTGTAACACTTCTAGAGACAAAAGCAAAGCAACAAACTTGCAAAGGAACCGATCCTACGAGCTTTTACCTGCCACCCCGGACCATCACCACTGAGCTATTACGCTTCATAACTCCGTTCGGAGAGTCGTTTAGCAGATTTGGAAGGCAGATTTGGAATCAGCGTCTGGAGACGCATCAGGAGGTATACATTTCATTTCAAACGGCCACTTCGACCTACCATCCTTCCCTTGTAAGGATTTTTTTGTGATAGGACCGGACCGCCGCGACTTGCACTGCATTGTTCTTGAACAATTCGCTGTCGATGTGCTTACGGACAAGCGTGGTTTTGACCAGACCCTAGTATCCATCAAAGATCTGGTTCGAGTCTATTCTGTTACGCCGACGCGGGCTGCTTTGCAGGACCCTGCAGCTACTTTGGCCGCATCCCGCATACCACGTGCCACTGCGTTAGAGAATTCGTCCAAATACTTTTTCCGTGTAGATCGCTTCGCTTTCATAACACCGCACGTAAACCCCGACCCAAGCGTGGGGATTGTAGTAAGCCTTATATGGCATAACGGCGAGATTAGAAAGTTCATGGCAGTTTTTGAAGGTGCTCCCGAAGCCGTGGCCGTAACGCCGTCATTGTGTGCTCGTAACCTTGAGGATCTGTACCAGTACTCACTGGTGCTGGCTCAGACTCGCCTCAACTCTTCTTGCGCTATACGGTTTTCAGAACCACCCGTGTCGGAGGGAGCGCGAGACGAGTTGTGCCAGTTGGTTCGCCGCTTCTTACCAGTTAATACGAGCGAAGCTGTTTCTCCCATGCGCGTGATGAATCTCACCGACGCCGATAAAACATGGCTGACCGACCGCGTCAACGATTTTGCGAGTTACCGAACTGAAACGGAATCGTCCAAGCGTCGTATGGGACAGCTCTTCAATCAATGTGTCTTGCGCCACGCTCGCCGCTTTGGCCACGATCCGCGATGATACCACCGTGCGGTGGGTCACTCTCACACTGCCACCAGGTAACATGTGCCCTATCCGCTTTGACTTCATTTTGAGCGACATGGCACACGAGGCAGGCTGGGCTAGAGGCCGTATGGTAGATTTCTGGGTAGCTGGCGCCGACCAAACCACAAAAATGCGGGTGGACTCCACCTTTTTCGATATGGATAGCAAACAGCTGTCCATACGCATCACCGGCTTTACTTGGAACCACGCATCCCTCACTGAACTAGTGGCTACGCACGGACAGATGCGGGACGACCACCGCGTGATAGAGGGCTACGTCCGCCTCGGTAAACTCACAAAATCTGCTAATGCGGCGAATAAAGCCGTTTCGCGATTGCTTCACATCGTAGAACGGGTGCAACCGGGTACAACGGGACACCGTATCCTGGATACGGTGTACCGCAAGGTCTCCGCACCTCCCCCTCCGCCACCCGCGGGAACCGACCGTCGCGAACCTCCTCTTCCTCTCCCGGATACCTTCCGGACAAACCATCAGACTAATCACTCTTACAGCCGACCAACGTGCCGCGTTTGCACTCGCAATGGCAGCTCATCCCATTTCCAGTATCAACGCCGCCTTTGGCACCGGGAAAACACTTTTGGCTGCTATCATTGCTGCTCATTATGTGAAGCGCGGGATGGGCCCTATAATAGTCACTACTACCACGAACAACGGGGCCGCACAGTTCACCAACACGATGTTGACCTTGCAGGATTTCCTCGAGGTGCGCCTTCTGAGATACATTTCAGAGACGGCGTTCCTCGATGACGCCCCGGCTACCCCCGCGGACATCCATGAGATACTCAAATCCCTGGGTAGCCAATTCGATTCGGCATTAACTTCATCAGAACGCATGCTGTGCTCGCGTTTCAGCAGAGGCCGCACCCTGTATGAGCAATACGCTAGGAATCCCGAGCGGTCGATGCACATGTCTGAAAAAGAGATCGAGGAGTACATCCTCGCGGAAAAGGAAGTCTCAGAGTGCGTTTTAGAAGGAAGTTTCAGAGTGCATTTTATCTTCATGGCGGAACCTTCACGAGCGGCACGAAGCAACGCCACACAACCTCGACAACCAGTAGCCGCACGGGACCAAACCTTCATCGCCTCCAGCCACCACTTCAGTTTAAGTTTACTCTTAAAGTCCGGGACGGACTTTTTGTGGTTGAGGGAGGTGTGAAGGATACGGTACGCTGAATCAGCATGAGTGCTCTTCCAGGCTGGAACGGCAGAAAATAACCGACGGGACACGAGGAAGAATGGCTATTCAAGGGATTTGAGGCAGTCGAGTATTACCGCGCTGAGAAGCCGCGAGGTCGTCATCCGTCCGGACAGTGCCGCCAGTATCGTCGTCCATGACCATCCTGCCCGAGATAGCCACTCATCGCTTTCCTGCCTCGAGCGTAGTCACCATCTACTACTTGAACGCTCGGACGATAACTTCGCTAGATCCAGTGTCTCGTTCTGTGCCTTTTGTTCATTATCCAATAAACCTATTATCTTATTTCGTGTATGGGCTCAGCACTTACTGATGCGAGAGAGCGATACGGATGAGGGAGCGCCAGGACAACAGCCTTGATAAGAACAAAAAAACTGCAGCTTGAGCAGCTTACTTTGCAAGCCCAAGCGCTCTTATCGGTTCGGTTTCCGCGCACGGGAACGCCATATTTGTAATTGTTTTCTAGGGGTCTATACTACAGACCGAAGAAAAGCGTTTCGCATGACCTCGGCCTGGGTTGTGCCTTTGAATAACATGAGGTACCACGTTGGTGCAGTGTGCAAATTGTGTTGAACGGATAGGTAACACTTGAAGTTCCGAAACAGCATTCAGACCTTTGATAACGACGAATTTGTCGAAACGATAGGCTAAATAAAGGTTCCGCCATCCAGTCATGCTTGGCACAGAAGCAAAAATACTGTTCTTAGTAAAAGGAGCAAAATATGGTAGATTTTTAAACTTTTATTTGTGTTGAGTAATCAGTTCGCAGTTGGCCAGTTGAGGGTTTAGCAATCACATGCTAAACTATCCTTTGCCGCACTGATACCGCCTTCTCAGAATCCTGAAACACACCAGTGATAGGTTAGTTTGTCGGATACACAACAGGTACAAAAGAAACTTGTCATAGCAACGTTAACACTCTGGTATTTTACACGTACTTCGACCTGGTCCGAATTCTTCCGGGCCATTTGGATGGAATCCACCAAAGCGCCTCTTCTGCCATGGGCCAAATGAACCTCTTTGGTCTCCTCCTCCCATCGGCCATCCACCGGAAGGTCCACCGTTTTGTCCTCTCCTAGGCCATCCACCGGGAAAATGGCCGTCATTTTCTCCTCTCCCATTGGCCATCCACTGAATCCACCAACTTGTCCTCCATTGGGCCATCCACCTGGATGGCCGCCGTTCCAGTCCCTCTCCCAAGGCTGACCCCAGGTTCCGTGCCAAGGTAGAGGACCATCATGTGGTGGGAAATGGTGGATCAGGTAGACGAAAAGGATGGTCGTGTGCACCATGCTCATGCATAAACTCTTCCATGGCAAACTTCAGAATTCTGTAAACCTGAAAAATGTTGAATCGCTTTCTAATTCTTAGCCAAAGCAAATCAAAGAATCCTAATCTTTGGTGGCTCTAAAGCCACAGTTCAACATAGAAGCCTTCTCACCACTGGATTTTTGGCCTTCAACTCGTGTATGGTCTTCATCATTTCTAGGAACGTCTGTTTTTTGTTCCCTATTATTTTGGTCAGATGTGCGACAGCTTTTGGCAATTCATTGATCAGCATCGTGAATTTCCGCGTCATTTCTTCCATGTGCTGCGCCTTCTTAGTGAAGAAAGCGAGTGCTTGTCTCTAAAATACCGCATCGTTTTCTCGAATTTCGAGAGCAGGGCTATTCACATACCTCAACGTGATGTTTCTTTGCCCAGGCAATGATCCGCTTCTCCTGCTGAGCCATTGTCAATGAATGGTTGAAAAGGATTTTATAGTACTCGTCTCGAGCAGTCCGTCTGAGACCCTTCAGAAATGGTGGATGGAAAATCTCTTCCCATGCATGAGCCGCTGTAGCAGCAAAGAGGAGGAGTATAAGTAGTTTCATCCTGTAAGACTAGTTTTTATAATAGGATAATGTAGTGGGATTGAGGAAGAAAAGACGATTAAGCAAGAGGAAGGGTAGAGATTAGCGCTTAGAGGGTGAGTGTATAGCTAAAAATCCAGCGCAATGCACGGCTTGCCACCCCTTCACCCGCTTCCCTTATATTCCCGATATCGGTAATACGTGACATATAGAAACAATATCTATGGATTGGGTGACGTTACGCAAATGTAAGTTCTTTTGGAACCATTGTTCCTCGTATGGGGCATTGTTTTCATAAAATATGGACCAAAAATTGAAACTGCTGAGAATTGGTCATTTAAGCCGTTTCCTCAAAAAAAGCAGGCTGTCCCCCCAACGGCTGAGCCTCTCGTAAAGTTGTACTGCTAACAACGGCTCAGATCTGCCCCAGGCAGAGAAGCTGTAAAGATGTGCGACCTGATCATCTGGCGTACCCGGACAGAACGGCGGTCGAGAAAGAAAGTGGGTATAGCAGTCGTCATCACTTCGTTACTTCAATGTCCTCATTTCAGAAAGCCTTTTAGGAACACTTGGAGGGGATTTGGAATCCTCCACACTTATTGGCTGACACCTCAGCTAACCTGTCGCAAACATAACAACATCGCTATAATAATGAAATAATATTATTTGCGACCTCCGGCAGGGATAGCCGAGTGGTTAAGAGGTTAGACTCATGTCTGCACCTCTGAAAAACCGCGAGTTCGATCCCTGCCGAGGCTCTAAACCATGCCTTGCAAAAATTGCAAAAATGGTTCTAGTACCAGCGTCAGGCCCAGGTTGACAGGCCGGCTGATGAATACCCCAGTCACTTAAACCATGTATAAAAGTTGTCAAGGAATCAGTGATTATTTGTGACCTCCGAGAGGATAGCGTGTACCTCAGGCTACGTCTGTAGAAGCGCTCTTGAAAAACCCTTCTAGGACCAAAATTACTCACACCGCCTGTCATAAACGCAATGATTGCAAGGATTATTTCCTAAAACCATCTTTTCAAATAACTGGGATTCCCTTTGTAAATTGTAAACTGCGTTGCAGGCATTACCGACAGCTGGTAAAAATTTGGATAAATAATGATGCGGGATCTGTAAGCATTGCAATGCATCTGCGAGTCAACTGCATGGCGCACTCCGAACAGGTTGGCCTGTGTTCCGCTAATAATCGCTATTAACACGTATTGATCTTGGAAACTGTTTTCCCCGAATGACGAACTGATTGATTCACCTGGTTTCCCTCCTTGCTGACGCATGGGTGACAAGACAGGCAAAAACGTGCCGCTGATTATTTCATAACATATTTACATGTGGTCGTTTTGTGGATCTTCTTCCATTAGTTTCAGCGTTGCGGAGCATGAAGGTTTCAAAATATTTGCAAAGGGTCAAATGATATCGGTTAGCGACATCATATTAGATCGAAACCTCACTGGTCATACTGGTGGGTTGCCTATGTGCCTCTAATCGTTAATCGACTCATATGGATCGCGGTATACAGTGCGTTGAAAATTCATAGGACACCCCTCGGAAGTCTCCTTACAGTTGAATTTTTTATCCATCCAGCAACGATGGTAGCACTTGTCCGGTGTATGGTAATTCTATTAGAGTTACGGTTTGAGTTGCTCCCTTTCCCTCCGCGAGTGAAAGCCAGACTTTCTTTTTATACGCGCCTGATGGCTCTACCATGAGCATCGAAGCCATTTTTAGGAGCTCAAAGAAAACCATAGCTTCGTGCTACGAATAGAATAAGGTGCACCAGGATAAATAGCATAGCTATCACCTCGAAGATTACATCAAAGAGAATCACCATGAAATGAAATCCTATGGTAAAATCACTGATATGGACAACTAGCGTAGGGTCCTGCGAAGCGTGCTGCCATGCTCGTTAGGCGTTCTGACTGAAACCAGAGAAGAGAAACTTCAGGTCTGGAACTCAGGATGAGGTTACGCATCACCACATCTTTAGGAAACGATCACGAAAATTTTGTTGAAGGAATAAGTCGAATCCTGGCCCATATTTCTTTACAAGTGAACAGCAGTCATCTGAACCATAGAGCCGACACAAATTATGTACATGGTGAATTTCTTTGATGTAATCTTCGAAGTGATAGCTAATACTTTTAGAGAACTTCTGCTACTTATCCTGGTGCACTCTTATTCTATTCGTAGCGGGAATCTGAAGCACGAAGCTATGGTACAGGAACATTTTTGCAATTTCTGGAGGGCATGGTTTCGAGCCTCGGCAGGGATCGAACTCGCGGTTTTTCAGAGGTGCAGACATGAGTCTAACCTCTTAACCACTCGGCCATCCCTGCCGGAGGTCGCAAATAATATTATTTCATTATTATAGCGATGTTGTTATGTTTGCGACAGGTTAGCTGAGGTGTCAGCCAATAAGTGTGGAGGATTCCAAATCCCCTCCAAGTGTTCCTAAAAGGCTTTCTGAAATGAGGACATTGAAGTAACGAAGTGATGATGACTGCTATACCCATGTATTTTTCGTGGTCTTTCTTTTATCCTTTCTTTCTTTCTCGACCGCTGTTCTGTCCGGGCACGCCAGATGCTCAGGTCGCACATCTTTACAGCTTCTCTGCCTGGGGCAGATCTGAGCCGCTGTTGGCAGTACAACTTTACGAGAGGCTCAGCCGTTGGGGGGACAGCCTGCCATATCCTTGCTTTTTTCGAGAAAACGGCTTAAATGACCAATTCTCAGCAGTTTCAATTTTTGGTCCATATTTTATGAAAACAATGCCCCCACGCGAGGTCGTGTAACTTCGTGCGTCTGGAGGATAGACCCCTAGAGAACTATCACAAAAATCAAAAAACAAATGAGGCGTTATAGTGCGCGGAAACCGACCGATGAGAGCACTTTGGCCTTGCTTAAGCTGCCCAAGCTGCAGACTTTCTATCTCTTCATGCGTGTCGCAATGCTCAGTGCGGCCTCAACTTTCTGAAGCGCATGCGCGTCATCCTGTCGTCAGCGTGTGAACGGAAGAGCACAGATTCCGCTATTAATTACTTGTTTCATTGCTTTTACCAGGAAAGGATAATGGGTGGAAATGGCCAATGGACTAAATACGAAACCGGACGTGTTTTTGGCCGTGATCTTGAGTCTGGTTTCCGAATCTGCTCATGTGATTTCTGAAGAAAGTTATATAGCAAAATAGAGTAGGGGTGATGGTCCAGGCTTTCCGGGTGAAAGGTCGCAGGATCGATCCCTGGTGGGAGTTTTTTCTACAAGTTTGCCTCTGAGGTAATTTTCATCCGCATTTCGAAAATCAAATCCATCTGCTGCAAAAACTCTGTCAACGGTTCTGCGGGCTTCATGGGCACTCGTTAGGAAGTAGCGCCCAAATTCCTATGAGTATCTTGCAAACTCTTTATGGGAATAGCTACAGGCGAGTCCGATCAAGCAGTGTAGTTGGGAGCCTTATTCAACCAGGGTTACCAGGGTTACAAAAATGGATCTATTCCACCACCGCACTAACAAAGCAGCGCCAGTTCGAAAAAGTGCCTTAAAGGCAAGATTCGGGATAAAATAGGTGTCTCAAAACGTTCAATCATGATACTATAGGTAGGAGGTAATCGATAAAGAGAAGGAAAGCAAACGAAACCACAGATTACGCCCCGTACAGAAACCTCCCCTATTTCAGCCACATTCCACCTTGGGATAGAGAAAAGGCGCGTTGGGACGAGTTTCACGAACCTGACTCTAGTTGCTCCAGTGCCAATTGACATTGGATCGCGGTGGGACCGCTGCCTCAAATGCGCCCGCGCTTTTCAAGCAGCGCCACGTGGCAACGGACAGCGGAGGGTGGGGCTTGCGGACGAAGGTGTGAGTTGCAGGTCGGACGAGCTGCTTGTGCCTTTGTCGCGCACTTTCAAGCGGCAAAAGGGGTGCGACAACAACACTTGTCCGCCTGCCTACTACCCCCGGGATGGAAGAGGCGAGCGCGCCTAATCGCGGAGCGTGCCTTTAAGATGCTGTGCTATCTTTTGTAGAATCCTCAATTGAAGCTTTGACGTTCCTAATAAGGCCAGTTCACGTCATAGCTTTGGCGTCGGCCGTGTATGCTGGATATTATAAAATGTATTGCCACTGGTGAACATTAGACCGCAATTCGATATCCATTCATAGTATTTCTTTCGTATTCCAGGAATAACTATTACTATTTCTCTGACCGAACCCGCATGCCTTATGTGCGTCAGAGTTTCCTATGGGACATCGAAATGCCGAAAGCGCTTCTCTGGCGGCGCATTACTCAGCGCTCCTCGCTAGCGACATTATCCGCACGGCCACTTTTTCGTGCTCCCGAGTGTATGTTGCATTACATGCTTGACAAATCTGATAGATCACGCTTTTCTAGTGGATTGCCTTGCTGGATCGCACGAGCATTTACATTGTGCCAGTGACCCAAATTAGCAATTTTTGCTATACTGGGCAGTATAGACGTCGATCAAAGTTTCTCACCAGCATATTGCTCTGATGTTCTCAAATAAGCGAGAGGAGGCGGTCCTCCACTGTCCTCACCGTTCTTAGAATATGACGTCAGTGTCATCTTCGAAGGAGACCTATGTTAAAAACTCCAACCCAAAACGCACATATTTTCTTCAGTTGCTTGGTGTTATACTCCTAGAGACAGTACCTTCATTGATGCGAGACCCTTGCCCAGCACTTGCGATAACGATCACCGATCACCACATGTTTTGCACAGGGAGGCTTCCAGAAAGGGTCACTTACAGGATCTCCAGCTGGGCATGGGCAAGATAGGAACACGACTATTTCTGCTGCACTTACTTCACCAGATATGAGCCATTTACATAAGGATACCTTATTCTGGAACCACACGCTCCGGTATTCAGTGTAAGTCCGCTTGGGGTACGTTTCGGAAGCACGAAGACGTTTGGATTTGATGAAGACCACCTGATGGCTCAAGTCAAGGTATGCTTGTGGTATCTTCAGTGCGCACGTTACTGCTTAGCCTGATAATAAAGCCTGATTTGTGAGCAATTCATCCTGAGCACCTCGATCACTTGAATTCTAATTGCCATTGCAAGCGGAATCATTCTTTTCAAGGAGCGAGTTGTGAACAGATTTGACACCCAGCTTCGCGGTCCTGGTAGGAAGACTCGTAGAAGTACATCTAAGAAAGAAGACCTTATCTTCTTCGAATGCCGTCCGAGGCAGTCTCTGGAACATCATTTACAAACTAGCTGGTGCTCTACATTTTTCAATTTTTTAGGTAGAATGTGTTTGACAAATCTTCTGGCTATTTTTGGCGCGTCAGCAATATCACATAAAAGTTTACTCTCATTTCAGGCCTGTTTATATAAGCGTGTGTGCGTTTTGTAATGGGTAGTATGTCTTGACAAATCATTTGCGAAATAAGAAGCGACTGAGAAATGGAAAAGGAGAATCAGTGACAACGCTGTACATCGCTTGGAACTGCCTCGGAACACTTGCCCGCGTTCTGCGATCAGTATGAGAGGGCTAGAGAAAAGTGAGCGACCAGGAGCAAAAAAACTACACTGTGTTCGATAATGATACAGCCATCCAAAATTTGTTCAAAAACGCGGAGTTTATGAAGTTTCTGAAAAAACTGTCCAGATAGAAAATGTTACAAATTTCATGGCGAGTTCAGATATCAACACAAAAATCCATGTCGAAAACACTAAAAAATTTTGTGCTATTTTTTCAGAAGAGGTCGATTTTCCTATGTTCAAAAATGATACAGCCACCCCGTGTTTCTTCGTTTGAAATTCATTTTTGCTTCATGAAAATGATTCGCAGTTATCAGGCTTTCACCTTAATGCTCCCACAAGATAAAAACGACAGTTTGGTTCTGAAAAAAGTAAGCTCTAGAAGAAAAAGACCAGTGACCGCCAAGAATTGCGCAAAAATTTGTCAAAGCTCCAATACGGGTTAACAATCCTTTCTGGAATTCTGTAGGTCATGCAACAATGAAGAGCTCTGGATGTTCATCATTGCTTTTTGATCAAGTTGAACTTCGCATTTCGGAGAAACATTTCATCGAACAGTGCCCGAAATTCCAGTATTCTTTCAAAATTAAACTTTCAATGGATATTGTTTGAGATGATGTTCCAAGGTCATTCCTCAATGGAGAATCACAGAAACCTTGTTTGTGAAAAGAAATTCTCTCGAAAACTGGGACATTTTTTGCTCGAAAGTGTAGCCACGTCCACTGGAGCAAGATCAGTTCTTTTGTCTTTGTACCTTACCTTTCTGTTTACTTTCTTTCGAGTTTTTCCTTCCTCATTAAGGGTTTTTTCCTTTCATTAGACTCCTATGAAGCGAAAAACATTGAGAGAAACGCAGACAGAAAGTAAGGCATAACGGACAAAAGAACTGATCTTGCTCCAGTGGACGTGGCTACACTTTCGAGCAAAAATGTCTCAGTTTTCGAGAGAATTCTTTTCACAAACAAGGTTTCTTTGATTCTCCATTGAAGGAATGACCTCGGAAATCTTCAACACATCCCAAACAATATCCATTGAAAGTTTAATTCTGAAAGAAGACTGGAATTCCGGGCACTGTTCGATGAAATTGAAATGTTTCCCCAAAATGCGAAGTTTAACTTGACCAAAAAGCAATGATGAACATCCAGAGCTCTTCATTGTTCCATAACCTACAGGATTCCAGAAAGGATTGTTAACCGTACTGGAGCTTTGACTAAATTTTTGCGCAATCTGGACGTTTCTATCTGGACGGTTTTTCAGAAACTCTATGAACTTTAAGTTTTCGAAAAATTTTAGGTGGCTGTATCATTATTGAACGCAGTGTAGTTCGAATTGGGGCCATGAACGTGCAGCCGCTAATTGGAGAAGTCTGCAGAGGTTTGACAACTTCCAACTTTCGTCTCTGCTGCGGTGCTTATGCAACTTATTATGGACTCTGAGCAGTGTTATCTCACCACTCTCTACATGGCTGTGTTTAGAAACTCCAGCGTTCTGGTCAATTTTCTCAAGCCAACCCGGGTAGTGCAGTCGTTTCGCTTCTTCGGGCTTTTAATGAGATACGATGTCAAAACTTGTAGGGAGGCCACAACAAAAATATTTTCACTTCTAGTTCCCTTGAGCACACGGTAGGCCGCGGAGCGGTCGAAAATCCAAAGGAGTGCGATGTTCATCACCGGATGTTTGGGCTAGCTGTGTGACAGGTTAGAGACTCTGTTAAAGTTATTATGCACCATGAGATGCAGGCCGTACGGTAAGCCGTGGAATTTGGCATGTTCATTGAGAAGAGGATATAGGATTGACAGGTCCGCTACTCTTGGAAGGAAAGCTATAAACACCTACAGAATATAAGTTCAAAAATGCATTGCAATATTTATGGGTCACCCTGTAAAGTTAAGTGTTTGCCGATCGTTAAGCGACTTATATGGATCGCCTATTTTATGCTGAGCAGTGCACAAAGGAACCGTTCTCAAAGGCAACGTGATAGGTTCTGGATGGTTTCAGAGAAGTATGGAGTGCTTTATGGAACGCTTATGGCAAAGTGAACCGTAAAGAAACGAGACCCCTTCGTTCGACTGTTAATTTTCGAACATGGACGGGTAGCGGCCAAGACAGAGGAACGCGGCTGAGACCGCCAGAGTGAGCTGTAGTCAGGTGCAGCTCGCCCTACGTTTTCTTTCCTACTCCGACTCGACCACCGTTTCCAGGCCTATTGCACAATGCTGACGAACAGCCGGATTAAGATTCGTGTAGGAAGAGTAATGTCCAGTACCCCTCTTTGAAGTGGTGTAGTGGCAAGTGGCGCTGCTTATCATGCGCGCTGTCTGGGTACGAATTCTGGGTCGTGCGTCGCCCGGGGAAGCCAAGCTTTCCTTCCCTCAGGGGTCATTAAGCAGTGCACGACCACTTGGTCTGTTTATGCTATAATTTTTCGAGTCACTGACGGAGTCTGAGCGATTATCGGCACTGGTGGAGTTGTGTGATGAGCAACCAGTTGTTGGGATTCCCACTCTCTAATTGATTAACATGGGTAATACTTTGCTGCATGCGCAATTGTGTTGAACGGATAGGTAACACTTGAAGTTTCTGCATTCAGACCTTTGATAACGACGAATTCGTCGAAACGATAGGCTGAATAAAGATTCCACCATGCAAGCCTGCTTGGCACAGAAGCAAAAATACTGTTCTTAGTAAGAGGAACAAAGTATGGTACATTTTTGAAATTTTATTGTGTTGAATAATCAGTTCGCAGCTGGCCAGTTGAGGGTTTAGCAATCACATGCTAAACTATCCTTTGCCGCACTGATACCGCCTTCTCAGAATCCTGAAACACACCAGTGATAGGTTAGTTTGTCGGATACACAACAGGTACAAAAGAAACTTGTCATAGCAACATTAACACTCTGGTATTTTACACGTACTTCGACCTGGTCCGAATTCTTCCGGGCCATTTGGATGGAATCCACCAAAGCGCCTCTTCTGCCATGGGCCAAATGAACCTCTTTGGTCTCCTCCTCCCATCGGCCATCCACCGGAAGGTCCACCGTTTTGTCCTCTCCTAGGCCATCCACCGGGAAAATGGCCGTCATTTTCTCCTCCCATTGGCCATCCACTGAATCCACCAACTTGTCCTCCATTGGGCCATCCACCTGGATGGCCGCCGTTCCAGTCCCTCTCCCAAGGCTGACCCCAGGTTCCGTGCCAAGGTAGAGGACCATCATGTGGTGGGAATGGTGGATCAGGTAGACGAAAAGGATGGTCGTGTGCACCATGCTCATGCATAAACTCTTCCATGGCAAACTTCAGAATTCTGTAAACCTGAAAAATGTTGAATCGCTTTCTAATTCTTAGCCAAAGCAAATCAAAGAATCCTAATCTTTGGTGGCTCTAAAGCCACAGTTCAACATAGAAGCCTTCTCACCACTGGATTTTTGGCCTTCAACTCGTGTATGGTCTTCATCATTTCTAGGAACGTCTGTTTTTTGTTCCCTATTATTTTGGTCAGATGTGCGACAGCTTTTGGCAATTCATTGATCAGCATCGTGAATTTCCGCGTCATTTCTTCCATGTGCTGCGCCTTCTTAGTGAAGAAAGCGAGTGCTTGTCTCTAAAATACCGCACCGTTTTCTCGAATTTCGAGAGCAGGGCTATTCACATACCTCAACGTGATGTTTCTTTGCCCAGGCAATGATCCGCTTCTCCTGCTGAGCCATTGTCAATGAATGGTTGAAAAGGATTTTATAGTACTCGTCTCGAGCAGTCCGTCTGAGACCCTTCAGAAATGGTGGATGGAAAATCTCTTCCCATGCATGAGCCGCTGTAGCAGCAAAGAGGAGGAGTATAAGTAGTTTCATCCTGTAAGACTAGTTTTTGTAATAGGACAATGTAGTAGTGTGGTTGAGGAAGAAAAAGAGCGCTAGGCAAAAGGAAGGGTAAGGGCTTAGAGATAGCTAAATCGCGTAGGCCCTAACCGCATTCTTATAGTAAGTATGGGAAAACGATGAACGAGTGAGTAGATAGCTAAAAATCCAGCGCATCGCACCGCTTGCCGCCCCTTCACCCCTCCATCCGCTTCCCTTATATTCCCGATATCGGTAATATGTGACGTATAGAAACAATATCTATGGATCGGGTGACGTTAAGCAAATATGGGTTCTTTTGGAACCATTGTTCCTCGTATGGTTCATTGTTTTCATAAAATATGGACCAAAAATTCAAACTACCTCTCAGAATTGGTCACTTTTCGGCCGTTATCTCGAAACACGAGTTGAAGGCCAAAAATCCAGTGGTGAGAAGGCTTCTATGTTGAACTGTGGCTTTAGAGCCACCAAAGATTAGGATTCTTTGATTTGCTTTGGCTAAGAATTAGAAAGCGATTCAACATTTTTCAGGTTTACAGAATTCTGAAGTTTGCCATGGAAGAGTCTGTGCATGATTATGGTGCACACGACCATCCTTTTCGTCTACCTGATCCACCATTTCCACCACATGATGGTCCTCTACCTTGGCACGGAACCTGGGGTCAGCCTTGGGAGAGGGACTGGAACGGCGGCCTTCCAGGTGGATGGCCCAAATGGAGGACAAATTGGTGGACTCGGTGGATGGCCAATGGGAGGAGAAAATGACAGACATTTCCCCGGTGGATGGCCTAGGAGAGGACAAAACGGTGGACCTTCCGGTGGATGGCCGATGGGAGAAGAAGACCAAAGTGGTTCATTTGGTCCATGGCAGAAGAGGCGCTTCGGTGGATTCCATCCAAATGGCCCGGAAGAGTTCGGACCACGTCCAAGTACGTGTAAAATACCAGAGTGTTAACGTTGCTGTGACAAGTTTCTTTTGTACCTGTTGTGTATCCGACAAACTAACCTATCACTGGTGTGTTTCAGGATTCTGAGAAGGCGGTATCAGTGCGGCAAAGGATAGTTTAGCATGTGATTGCTAAACCCTCAACTGGCCAAGTGCGAACTGATTACTCAACACAAATAAAAGTTTAAAAATCTACCATATTTTGCTCCTTTTACTAAGAACAGTATTTTTGCTTCTGTGCCAAACATGACTGGATGGCGGAACCTTTATTTAGCCTAACGTTTCGACAAATTCGTCGTTATCAGAGGTCTGAATGCGTTTCGAAACTTCAAGTGTTACCTATCCGCTCAACACAATTGCGCATGCAGCCAAGTGTTACCATGCTAATTAAAGGCGCAACCCAGGCTGAGGTCGTGTGAACGCTTCTCTTCGGTCTGGAGTATAGACCCCTAGAGAACAATCACAAAAGTGGCGT